AGCATAACGTGAAAATAAGAAAGATTTCAGGGTGTTCTTGATTGATACAATTAATTTTTCTTTCTGGACTGAAGATGAGACAAAATTTCGAGTAACATATAAAGGTACCACATATACAGGTTATTTTGCGGCTTGTGCTTGTGTTAATCGGGCAATTGAATCTGGTATCAATTTAACGGATGCCAAGTGCATGAAAAATATTACCACGAAAGATGTCGAAGAAATTTTTACTGGTGATGATGGTGATTTTTTTGTGGATTTTAGGAAATATTTTTGAAATTTTATTAGTAGTTTGAGTTTGTACGTTTAAGGAGTAGTCTAATAATCATTTGTTCACAGGTCAAATAATGCCACTCTGTGACTTACGTGCAAAAGCTATCGCTGAAGCTGGAAGAATACTTCTTGAAGTATTGTATTTTTTTTTTTTGTTTTATTATTTTTGTTAATTTATTTTTGTGGGTGAAATAAAACGACAATACGGTGCTATGACGTGAAATTTTAAACTGAGGTTTTTTTTCTTGAAATATCACTATGTAAGATTTATTTTTAGAATTGGTTAAGTTGGACTTTGCAAAGCGCAGTCTTTTATTAAATAAAATTTGTTAAATTTGCAGAAAGAAACTGAGACTACAGCATTTATTTGCAGCAATTTGATGGCTCGTTTTATACGTGTCTGAAGATGTGCGACAGAAGTGCCATGAAACTTTTGGCAATAGTTGTAGAAAATTTTGATAGCTACCGAGACTATGCTACGTTCAAAGGGAAGAAAAGTAAGTGTGACGTCCGAGTGAGCTCCTGCAGCACAATTCCTTTATTAGCATGTTCTTCTCATACAAGTCACCGCTTGCAGTTTCTTTCCTTAAAAGAGCTCAAATTTTGGTAGCTGATTTGCATGGATGCTTACACGACAAAAACGACCTCGGAAATTTTAGCGATATAGCGTAGGTCATTTGAAACTTTCTTACTAATTACTCTTGAGTTTATAGTTCAAAAAGTGGTTTTTTACCAGTCTACTCAAGCTTGCTTATTTACTCTTGTTATCAAAGGATTCTTCTCTAGACGTAAACAATAAAGTGATGTCATAACTTGCGAACATTAGCATTTTGTGTACTTTCACTCTAAAGTTTTTACTGAACTGTGGTAGCGGTCATGGCTATAAAGTTGCCTAAAAAGAAAACAATTTGTTTTATTCATCGACAGTTAATAACTGTTCATCAAATTCATGATGAATAAAGCGCGAATTTAAAGACTTATTATGCGTGAGAAAAATTATAGCGATTTGACTATGTTTGCGGATTATCGCGTTCCACAAATACTGGCATTCTTCTCAGTGCTGAAGTATTCTCCAAAACTGGAGGAAACATTGAGGTCAAAGGTACTTCTTCAACCAGGCAGTGAAACTGAAGTGGAAATACGAGCATTTTCGATTTGTGCTATTGATGTAAGCATTCATTTTACGTTCTTTTTTCTTTTTTTTTTGGATACTGCAAGTTACGGCTGTTTTTATCATTGGTTTAGAGGTTCACACTAAAAAAAATATGCAGAGGTGGTGTAATATCTCTTAAAGTTCACAAAAAATGGGTTTTTTTCAAAGAATTCTTTGTTAATTTACTAAATGACTTTTTTGCTAGAGCTACTGCGAGAGTTACTTCAAGGATTTAAACTCATAACAGGCTTTATCTTTAATTATGTTTGAGAAAACTTCTAATATGAATTAGTCTTTTTAACGTTTCTGTTTTATAAGGGCTTGATGGCAGTTGATTTTTAAGGACCTTGTAAAAAGGTATGAAGAATTACGTACAAAATCAGACAGGAAAGTGCCAAGACTAACAGCTGTTTTGGCCGACAATTTACTATGGTATCGTCGGAGAGAGATTGCTCAGGATATTCAGAAAAAGGTTGAGTACCATCGTGTTAGGACGATTTACTATTAGCATTAATTTGTGCCGACTTACATTTTACCTAGGTTGGCCAGTGAAAAAAAATTTTAGGAAGTCTTTGTAAAATGTTGCTGGTAAAAGTTCAAGGAATAATTTTTTTTGGTGTTTTTGATAATGAAGTTTTTACACATCATTTTATTGTTGTCTCATATTTAATTTGGTATGATCTGTTTAAATGGCCAGCGGGTCAAGTTATTCATATCGTATAGGTCTTGAACAAATTGAAACGTAAGTTTCATTTGCAGTTTGATTTTTGAAACACTAGCAAAGTTGAGAAGACGGTAAATTTGAACTTTAGATTTTAGTGTAGTAGAGAGTTTGTAAATTGGTAGGGAATGGGAAATTCTGGAGATATCAAAGTATCAATAGTTTTTGACTACAGAAGGTTTTTCGGTTTTCAAGAATTACTTTTATTTTGGTTTTCTTTTCAAACTACGTTTTTTTCTGGATCTGAAATAAATAAAAATGATTTTTTTTACGATTGATCTGAAATCATTGGTTACCGCAAATCTGAGAATGTTGTTTCAACAGTCACTACCGGCAGATAAAATAGAATATTAATACTGATGGAGAGTCCACAAAATTTCAAGTTGTGAATAGAATGGTTAATCAGAGGTGTTTGAACTTGATTTAATGATTGCGATAGTGACAGTCATGTAAAAAGAAATGAAGAGAGTTTTACATGCATTTAATCTTGAATACAGTTATAAATGAAATTTGTATCAGGTTTTTTCGCTCTTTTCGGATTGTTGCTAGAACCAACCTGGAAAACAGCATTATCAGCAGACGCATCAGGCGTATCTTCACAGTTACCAAGAAATATGATGTATCAGTTACGAGTTTCAACTATTCAATTTCTTGACCATTAACTGTCAAAACTTATTCATTTGTTGTTTCCACTAACAGCGGTTTGATACAGAATATAGACTACTAGTTTATTGTCACCACTGTTACTATTACTACCAGTACTGTTAACGAAAAATTTGGTTTTCAAAGTAACGCTTTCTCAGTCTTAAGCGTCCTTCCTTCTAAACGGTTTACTTTCGCCTTAACAGAAATTTACGTGACCCTCATGTGCATAATTGTAGGATAAGATTTTACTGTGAAGAAAGAAGCAAAATATTTCAGAACTAAAAAGAGAGATTCTTCTACATGCAGAGGATTCCTGTTGAACGGATGAACGTATGAATTAAAGATCAATAAGCGGGAACCAAGCATTTAAATTTGTGAAAAAAATAGAATAAGCTGACTAAGCAGACGAATAGTTGAGGTTCTGCAAAAACTTGATTGTTAAATTGCTGTTGCCTTAATTGTCCAAAAATAATACTATATGACGCCACTGCTGTGGTAAAACTCAAAAAATTTTCTCGCCGAAGGTTTATCTGTTTATTGTCTGTTTATTGGTATCAAACTGTTTCCGACACAGAGCATTAACGAAGGGAAAAAAGACATTGTAGTCATAAGACTGACATCTGATTGACGTACCCAATACAGTTGCACTAGGTAACAGATAATTTATCTTAGCACATCTATCTTTGATGCTGTGAGCTAGTTCGGACACACTTACAGGAAAACAAGAAGCGAGAACAATGCGGTATTACTCGACCTTTAGTTTCTTAAACTTGGGGACTTATTACAACCATAGAACTACATTTTTCCTGCATACAGTATTGTGCAACAAATTTCAGCAAAACACTTTCATTAGCTTCACTTATTTTTTCAACAGATTATTATAGAAGTAAATGTTTAATAGGGAATTTTTTTACATGTCCTCTGTTTAATACAGGAAATAGATAAAATTTAATTTTGGAAAATTAGAAGTGAATAATATATAGCTGCTGTTCACTTTATTTTTTTGTGTTGAACTATGTATTTTTTGAGTCGTTATCACAGAGTAGACAACAGTAATTGTTAGTCTTATTTCTCTAAATCAGTAGATCAGAAAACTGTGTGGTTGACAGGCGGAACCGGTGCTATTGTAGTGAACAGTTCAATAATAAAAAGCAGGAAGTTATTCGTAAAAAATTTATTTATTTTTTCTTATTAATCAGTTTTCAAAACCGATCATCTCACTTCGCCTGTCGTTTCTGCACTGTATCTTGTTTTTACCATTTAATTACTACAGAAACATTGATTATTTTACCGTAGAGGGAAAGGAGAACGATTTTTGGTGGATACCGATCGTTGGCTTTTACTTAAATAAAATTAACTGTTTTTTTCTCTTTATTTGTGTCTTATAAACTTCTCTAAAACTTTTTTTAAAAAAATTAACTTTAAAGCAGATTCAAGATCAATATTTTGCACAGCTATCAAAAAGGTACAACAGAAACGTTTTTACAAGGTTATTATGATAAAAAAACAATTACGTATTCGTAAAATTTGTACTTTCATCAGCAGTTAACAAATCACCGATTTATATTTGTGGCTCAGTTGCTCTTCTGTCAATAATCACTTTTTTCCTCATTTACTTCTTGATTTGCAATTGACAGTAAGAGGACAAAAAAACCGTCTTAAGTACAACGCTCAAGGATGAATTCTTAACAGGGGCGAAATCATCAATATTCTTCCTGATACCTCAGCAATGCTTTAATGTTGTGTATCAAAGTTGCCATATTACCTTCATAATCATTCAGGTAGTTTTCTTAACAAATCAGTTATCCTGTTGCAATTGAATCAAAAAGGTACTGTCTGTAGACAAAGGTTTTTGTTGCTATCCTAGATGACTGGAGATAATGTTATTTTGTTGATCTTCGCGACATAATTTTATTAAACACTTTTTCAAATCATGAATTTTTTTTGAAGTAAACTGTTTACAGTTTCTGCTTTCAAATTAACTCAAGTACACTGGTACACTAAAAAATTGGTAGAACATTTTTGTTTTTCGAAATTTTTTGTTTTATTTGAACATTTAATAGTTAAAGAATCACCAGTATTCAGTCGATTTCTTATCAGTTGCAATAAATTATGGTTAATTGATGTTTGTACGGAACTGACAAATTAACTGACGTTTTCGTAATATTATTCAAAGGCTTCAGAATATGAACTATTGTTTTTTTTTTTTTT